TAAGTCCCCAGGCAAGGGAAAATGAAGAACAAATTAAATGTTCGCTGTAAGCAGTTCACTAAATAAAAGAACAATAATAGTGTTTTTCTGCCATTCTTTTCATTTCTCCCAGAATAACTACACATCTTCTGGATACAATCTGTTTCTTTGCCAGGGCTTCGACATTCTCCCCTGAATTAATGATGCTGGAAAATCTCCACTTTTCATAGACTCTGATAGTCTCCGCTGAGCAGCAGAGGGCTGCACAATACTTGCTTATGCAATGACTGGTCCTGTGCCAGGAATAATAGCCTGTCTACTAGGAACAACCAATTCACTCACAAAACCAAAATACTTTTCTCATTAAACATCTGAATTAAGTGAAGTAAAACCACCCTGAACCTACTGGTAACACCACACACTAATGTCAGCCTTCACACTGAGTTAAACAATCCCACACCCTGGTCTTTGAGGAACCCGTTAGCATGGGCAGAGGAGGGTGGCACTTCCCTATTCATTACCTCCAAAGTACTCTTGACACTATCAAGAACTATTATTACAGGACCAGGCAACAATAGGACACCCAAAGCAGTTAAAATGCGACTTGATCTGAGAAAGTACTTGCAGACAAGCACTGCTTTGGCTACTTCAGGCACCAGCAGGCTGTAATCATAGGGTAGCTCTTCTGTCCGCAGGCACGATCTGTCCCTGAGCAGATGAGGAGGTGGAGAATAGTATCACCTTACTTGTAAAGTAATCCACAGCACACTACTCATATCAGCATTTGTTTCAAGCCTGTTCTGGACCATGCTTTAAATGTGGTATATCTGCATTTCCTCCCAAAGAAACACTCAAGGCAGGAGGGTCCCATAAAGTTAGCTGTATCTAATGTGAGAAGACTTCAACCAGGTCTTACTGTCTGAAATCAGTTTACTGCAATAAGGTGCAAGTCCAGATCTAAATTTTTGCCTCTGTCATCCTCTGTCAGGATGGAAACATCAAGGAACCCTGGGAAACCTTTCCTCCATTTTGATCCGTGGCTGAGAAATAAGCAATCAGATCACTGACACTTTCTTGCAGACCTCAGAATTCTGCCCTTTGCTACCTTACCAAATCATTACTTCACCGGGATGTCAGCCTTCCATCCTTGCTCACATTTTACTGTGAAGAGGAAACAGGACAGCTCTACTTCAAATGAAAGCTCATACTGTGAAACTTAAGTAGCACAGTTATGACAGTTATCCTGACCACCGGCACCAGAAAAATCACATTTTCTGCTCCATTCTGCCATTCTAGAAGAGGTTTTATGGAGGGCATGGGAGATTTAGGGGTCACATCCCTTTATTTCTCCCTTTGACTGGTAGAGATTAAGAGGCTACCACCTCTCCCACAATATTAAGAATTGGTATAAACCAAGTTCTGTTACCGTGGAGAACAGAGCTTTTACAATGTGGAATGCAATTACACTCAAAGAGTCACTATAACTTGCTTTTTATCTCATCTACACAGCATCCCTTCCCGGCCTCTCTCAGTTGTAACCAATACCTCACAGACTGGTATTTTGCAGTGGAAAATGAACCCTTGGAAAATGAACTAAAGAAAAGTATAGCTTTAGAGTCAAATATAAATTAGACACACCTGGAAAGCAGAGCACGTGGTCAGTGAGGAAAAGTCCTACAGTTTTGAGCAATGCAATTTTTTCAAGCGATACCTTCTCCAACTGTTTAACTCTTCTCTGCTGTTATCTCTGCTGTAATCCCCTCTGGTTTTGTACCAGAGCACAACCCCAGTTTTGACACAGGAAGACTGGGTGAATTTCTGCCTGCACTTCCGCGCACATCATTTTGCATGGCTGCTGTGTAGCTTCTCTGTCCCACGACTACTTCAGAGGCATCTACACTGATGATATCAAAGGGGCAAGTTCATGTCAAAGCTTCAGGCCAGTGGCTTGTGTCTCTCTGCCAAAAGCAGGAGCTACAGTGAGCCCTGAAACCACTGAACAGGAAGAGGTTTCTAAGTCCCCACACAAAGCAATAGCAAAGAATGAAAAGAAATGCTACAAACTGTGACTAAAAAAAAACCACACAAAAAAAAAAACAAAAGCAAGGTGACAAATATAGGGAAGATGTTAAAAACAGACAAGTGCATCGATCCATAGTATCCTCTGTCCCAGAGAAACAGATACTGAAGTTGCTGAACTCGAGGAATCTGCATGACCTACTTAAGTGCACATACCCAATAAACCAAGTACCAGGGAAACACACAGCATCAGGCAACAGCTGGAAAAATTTGAGCGCATATGAAGCCAGCACTCTGGGAACACTGAACAGGAAAGAAAATAAGCTGAGTACTTTCATACTAGAGTTTGTGATGGGCACTCCGTTTATGGGTTTTACAGCAGAAGTCACATTTCTTGCATTTTTTCCCTTCCAGAGGGTTCCGATTTCCTGTATTTCATTCTCTTACCGACAGAGCCATCTAGTGGACGAGACATAATTTATTTGACAGCAATTCTGATTTATCCCACTGTAAGTAAAAATAAGCACATCGTACAAAGAATCTTCAAAGCAGCTTATAACAGACAGGTGTATCAGTTACTCTAGTTAGATTTTACTCGACTAATAAGAAATTGCTAAGCCCCCTTGGCAGGGGCTTAAATTCCTGCCAATGTGCAGCTTCAAAATTTTCCACACTAATTCACAGTATCTTTCTTTCTGAAAAGAGTAAACACCTCATCCTAGACCGAGTCCCAACTTAAATTAAAAGCTTTGGACTGGGAATTCATGCAAAATCCAGTATCTTCTTCAAGGCTGATATGGATTAGAGATGTTACATTTTTTAAATAAGGCTTAAAAGCTAAAGCAAAAAAAAAGAAAAGGTTTCATTCTGCGTGCTCTGTGGGCAGTCACAAGTCTAGTGGGTGAGAAGCATCAGAAGGGGCAGAAACTTCTCAGCAGATATGCTGCAGAGCTTGTTCTATGAGTCAAACCTGCTGGGGAGAGTTCTTGTTTCTTTCTGCAAGTCATGGCTGTCCCCCCTGCCCTCAGTGCTGCTGAACGCCACATCAGCTGCTTCGGGGGAGACAGGAGGCCTCAGTGAGCAGAAACCTGGCACGGCACATGGAGAAGGAACTGGAACTTTAAAAACCAACAGAAAAAAGTAAGTCAATCATCATTGGTGGAAACAATCCCCAACAAACCTGTTACTGCCAGGCAGCTTTAATTTGCTTAAACAGCATTTAACCATTACACTTTTCAGGGCTCCCCTTGGTGTTTCAAAGCCTTCGCCATTCCAGTAACTGTCGATGGTCAAACTGGGTGCCTTTCCTCCCAACCCTCTGCAAAAGAGGCACCTAGCCTTCAGAAAAGGCTACATGACATTCAACAGTCAGAAGGTAACAGTGAGATACAAAGCCAACGGGCCAGATTTGCAGCCTTGCCAAAATGTTGAATGTCTTCCAAAAAATCCTTTTAGTCAGGTCCCCCATCTGTGGTTTACTTTCTTTTCCACATGTTAATAGTTCTTTTTGGAGGCTTTACAGATAAAGGAAACAGTTTTGAGGGCTAAGAAGTAGCAGATAGTCCCAGCAAAAAAAAGAAGTTGCGATCCTCACTGTTAGTTCCCTCGAGAGGTTACAGGGAGACCCAAGAGAAGCCAGACCCAACGGAGTTCTGGCAAGGGGATTTCTCTTTGCTCAAACTGTGAGTATGTCTCTTGTCTGTCCTGGCACTAAACAAGGTAACGGTAACTTGTTTTGTCACTCACTGTACATTAGCCACAGCCAGGATGACACCCTTTAAGCAGAACAGCTTGCCATCCTTCAACACACACACACACACTCTCCATCCTATATTCATTTATATTTATGGCAATTAATTGTTGCACTAATCAATCTCAGGTTTCTATCAGGTGTTTGCTTTGGAAAGAAAAGACAGTTCTAGCTGCTGAAAAAACACCCTATAAGATCTCACAGCAGATACTTGCCTCAAGTTACATGGAAAGCAATCCTGTATCATGCCATTCCTGTTCTGCCTGTTGACAGTCACGCAACTCCACTGTACAAAAATTCTGACAATTTGCAACACAATCACCAGCCTGATGTATTAAAAACAGTAAGATCAGGTAACAGACTGCAAATAAAAGACATCTATTTCAAATAGCCATGATACTACCTGCTAGAGAAGTGGACATCTTGTATACCACTCTACAGCAACAAGCAACACCAGCAGACGTCAACAGAAATACCTGTTTTTACCTACCAACCTGTTTCCAGAGATCCCAGGCCTTAGCATGGGATACTACAAGCAGACAGTTCAATTCTTACCATGAAGCTCAGGGTACAGCAAAAGGAGGGAGTTCTTTTTTCCTTTGTACATTAAAAAATGTCAGTCTCAGCAGGCTTCTAGTATAAAGACTCAAAATGCACTTCAGTTTCCTGTTCGTTTTAAGACGTTCTTTCTTAACTGCCTTGAGAAATTCAGAAGCCTTTATTTAGGCAGGGGGAGGAAGTTCTGTGGAAAAAAAGAGATGTCTTATCTCCCGTAGTAAGAGCTGGAACCAAACTGACATATTAAAGTTCCAAAAAGTACAAACAGCTGTTACTACTAGTGATTAGGAAAGTTGTAGTTTGCACACAGACCAGTTTTACCTGCCCGAATCTTACAGAGACACGCTCTCTGAGGGAAATGTCCTGATCAACTGGTATCAGTCACCACTCTCTTCCGAATGACTGTGGATTTGAAGAATGACATTTCCGCAAGGAAGTGTTTTATGTCACTACTAAAGCCCTGAATTGTTCATTTTAAGATGGAAATGATATCTTCAGGAAAGCATTACTGCTAGACAAACATGACTCCCATGCTATGTTTTGAAGCAGGGCTTTGTGAAAACTGTTTTGTCTAGGCATGATAACAAACTAAAATATTCTTACAGTTATGCTCAAGCACATCTTAAACACATTTTAAGGAGGTTTCTAATACAAATGTTAGGATCATTACTACCCAGAAGAACATGTAGCAGGGTTTTTCTAGTGATGCAAGACCAAATACAGCTTTATTTACAGACAAAAATTCAACAAATCAATACATTAGTCCAACTTTCATGTCTGCACACAAGGGAGAGCCTTCACAGCATCAGAGCAGAAAAGCAAGACCAGGTACTTCATACATTTCCAGACTGGTAATTGATTGCATGCAGGTATGTGATCAGACACAGAAGTGTTACATTCACACATTTCAAGTCAGTAACTCAGCCACACTATAGTTTTAGAAATAAAGTTACAACTACATTTGGCTTCCTGCACATCAGCTGTTGAGCCTGTGTATAGATATTAAGACCAAAAGCTGAAGTTGATCCTAAGCTTTGTTTAAAAGATTAGCATTTGTGTTGAGTTGTATTTAATGGATAATCATTTATGACTTTCTCCATAGACCTGCACTACTTTTCAAATTTACAAAACATTTCAAATGTTTTCAAACTGCGTGTTCCCAATGAAAAATTCTCCCTGTATCCTAAGAGAAAAATAAGAAACGCAAGAATACAAGCTCAATGTACAACTCTGAAGATGAACCTCTATTGTAGATCCATATAAAGCAAAAGAACACAGTGCTTTGCTTCTCAGGAAGCTGCTTCTGTTTGGCAGTATGTTTTGTTAATGCAGCTGCTAAGACGACTTTAAAAAATACTATTTAAAAATTCTTCATCAAGAATAACTTCTAATTCTTTAGAGAATGAATGACAACAGGACTAAACAAGAAAAACGAAACATGATGATCTTTAGAAGTCGATGCATCACACAAATACAAAGTAGTCAAATCTAGATATAAAGTCCACTATTTTCCAGGCAAAGCTATTTTAAGCTTGAAATCAACCTCCAATTTGCCCAAGAGAAGTCCTGTCATACAAGAGCAGACAAGTTTTTGTCAGAAACATTTATTAAACAAAACTGATACCAATACACATGTAGTCAAGTTAATACCCCCTAATAAAAAAAGCATGTCTGTAAAGACCCAAGATTATCTTCGCTTCTGGAAGATGTTGCCACGACCCATACCACGGCCTCTTCCTCTTGCAGCCACTGAAGAAAGAAAACAGCAGGGATGACACAGATATGAGGTAACTGCATGTTTATCTCAACAACTGACAAGGAAAACCTAAACAACACTCATAGTCTCCTGCTTAGAAGCAAAGCAAAGCTATCCTAGGAAGAGCAGAAAGTGATCTAACAGGAAAAAGTTCTCTGTGAGAAGAACCAGAGCTAACGGTTACATGGTCTTGTTTCTTAGAACAGATGCAGTGGAATATTCATACATTTTGTGTTCCTTCTCATCTGACACACAAATTTGTAACCCATGAGATTTAAAACCCCACAGTCTTCCAAGGTTTTGTAACAGAACTGAGTATGTTTCAGCAGGTGCTGTTCCCCCACATAACTTCAGCAAATGCGGTACGGTTAAGCAAGGACTCTGCAGCCCACAACTATTACTCCTCTTATAATTAGGCTGTTCCCCTGAGAGAGGTACAAATGAGAGTGAACTATAGAATGGCTAATAATTACAGCTTCCCACTAATTTAAGTACTTTCTTAATATCTGAACTTGCTTTTCTACAAAAGCTTATTAAGAACACCTGGATCCTTCCCTAAGTATTCCAGACAGCTAGTGGCCACAAGCACTGGAAAAAAAACAACAATGGTTTATATAAAGCCTCCATTTAACAAGACTACTCACTATATCTATATTATTTAAATATCAATATTACACATTCAGGTAATTGGGCAATTTCAGTCTTGGCTCCTATCATAAGATGAAATATAGAGAAAAACATTGCATGAACCAGCAATCTTGCAGTTTTTTTACAGCTTGTTTCCTCAGTGATAGAGAAAACAGTTTTCCAGCTCTTCTGCAGCAAAATGAGGGGGGACACACAACCAGAAACAAATTGTACGCACCTTGAGCTTTGAGAATAGCTGCTTTTCCTCGCCCAGCTCCAGAACCCTGGTTTTTATTCTTCATGCTCTTTAGCATAGGAGCGTTCTTCAACATATCTGGTAAAATGAGAAACCGTATCTTGCTTCCTCTGATGTACACCTGCTCCAGCTGTGCTACTCGTCCATCTCTGTATGTCACCGTTATGTTGGACATCTGGAAAGCAAAGATCAGTCAGTGCTCAGAAGCCTCTAACACAGTTCTGTATTCCCGCTGCTCTCCCCTGCAGAATAGACAGCCAGGAGTCAAGTTCTAGAGCTAAAGACACCCCAAGGCACTGCTTTCTCAACTGGAGTTGTGACACAAGGCATCCAGGAACATTTAAACATACTCCTAAGCCTGCTACTATTCAAGCAGGCCCAGGACTTTTGCTTTCTCCCCAGTTTGCATATTAATGTTATCAACTTTGTTAGTTTGGCTTTCTCATACTGAACCAGTTTTAAAAAAGCTGTTCTACTTGTAACTATTAGGAAGCATTTTGATTTCAACAATGACTTGCCTGAAGTCACTCAAAATTAAGCCCTCTTGGGATGAACTAAAGTAACATACATTAAAAAAAGCTCCTTAAATCAAGGATTTATTCTTACAATCAGTGGCTTTAAATAAAGAACTCCAGCATAAACATTGTTCACAGAACAGAATCTTAAGAACCCGAATATTATTAAAGGAATACCCAATCCGAGTATAAAACAAAAATAAGGTCTGGCCTTTACATGCTCAGTAATCTTGAACCTATTTCACTACACTAAGACAGTGTACATGCAGCAGTACAATTTTCTTTGTCCTAAAACTAAAAGCAACAGTCTTTTAACGAAGCTGCCAATAAGGTAGCTATTGGCCTTTCCAGGCACACATCAGACACCCTTCCCTCTGTCCTCCTCAAGCAGGTATACCTGACAATTCATGTTGTCCTCAGCCTCAATGAGTTTGCCTCGGTAAACTTCTCCTGTATTGGTCTCACATGTCACAATATGGCCTTCAGCCTCATGCAGGACTTTAATGGGCACTCCGATCGACATGTTTGCAGTGCTGTGGTTCTACACCTGAGACAAAAAAAAAAAACCAAAGCACGTAATTACAAAGAAAATTGTATACTAGGTTTTACCTGCAAACACCATGATCTTTCCCAGTGTGAAATGATTTTTCTCTCTTGCCCAAACATATCAAACACTTTGATGATGTGTTAATAAAAATTCTCTAGAAAGATGCCTATAGGAAGAAAAGACTTTAAAAGAGCAGCAAAAGTTAAGTCTTTTCTAGGGGTCTTCTGCCCTAGGAAAGTCACTTGTAAATAGCAGGTAACTCGTATAGGCAGGTGCACCTCAAACAGAAAGCACCCCAGGTGCATTCCATAACGGTACAGCCAGCCTGGCCACAGCAACCCTCGCCAACCACACCACCTAAGCCACAGGCTCTACCACGACGGAGCCCAGCCCACGCATCCCTCTCCTTTACTTGAAGGCCCCCAGGGGTAGAGAAGGGCTACGGCCCGGCCCACCCCGAGAGGCCCAGCAGAGCCCCCGAGGCCTGACGGCCACCCCACCACTGTTTCACCCCCTCAGGCCCGGACAACCCAAGGAGCCGGCAGGGGAGACAGGGCAGCTGAGATGCTCGCCCGGAGAGGGAGCAGGGCCCGGGAACACGCAGAACACGGAGAAACACAGCCCAGAACCCGCCCTACGGCTCACTCCCCCCCCGCCTCAACCCAGGCCCGCGCTCAGCCGCTAATGGCCTCTCCGCCTTCCCGCCCTGCACCGCGCGCCGGAACCGGAAAGCAAGCGGCGGCGGAAGCGGCCACTTCTCTTCCCCCCCCTCCCCGGGCCCTCCGCCGCCATCGCGCCCGGACCCGCCGGGCCGCGCC